TTGTTATTTTCTCCATTGGCTAACTGTTTGCGGTCCTCTATCAACTTGATTATCCCTCCAACTATCTGTCACCAAATGGTAACACGAGAGGTCTTCAGTAGGAAAACGCATTCCTTGGCACAACCATTGTCTAGTTGTAGTGGCCCTACTACGGAATGCCAGCACATGTGTTCCATTGAACAGTCGGGTAATTTCTTCTGAAGACAGCAACTGAACAGGATCAGAATTGGAGCTTGCAAAGGTATATAATTTATATCCTTTCTGGCGTCAGAGTTTAGCTACTTTTTTCACTGAAAGGCGATGATGATAGAATCTATGGAATTCTTAAAATTGAGACCGCCTTTTGGTTGCTTATTTGTTTTACTTCAAACATTTTTACCATCTAAAGACATCTGTAGATATATTCAACGCAAGTCGCTTGCCAAGATTCTTTTATCGTATTATTTTCATGGCTTGCTAAGTATAAGTGATTCTCAGAGAAGGACTTGCATGAAAAAGCGGTCATCGCAGCAGACAAGTTTCATTCTTTGCCGAAGTACCTAAGGCAAGGCCCTTGGTTCAGGTTCTTAAACTAGATAAGCTCTTTTGACAAAATGATATCGAATTTTCCCGGTAATTAGATATCAAGCAACCTTAGTGACTCTCCAATCTTTTCAAACACCTAGGCCATGTACGTTGGCGGGCTGCTTCCTTCATCACGAAGATGGCTTCGTTTCCTTTTGATTTCTCACCTTGAACAGTTCTCGTAAGCTTGTTGATACAGCTAAAAAATCATGACTCGGCTCTCTCTCCGGTTACTACCGAAACAACATTATCTTTGAATGAAATGAATTTTTGCATATAATAATTAAAGACAATGGATTCAAGACTATTAACAATCTTCACTAGACTGTCTGAAATACACGCTGTTACGGTCTTGACAGATGCACTGCTGAAATTTACTTCAGACTATCTTTGTACTTTTATTTAATAACAATAACACGATGTGTTGACGTACACATCTGATGTACACATCTCTCTGTCTTGAAGATTTGTCTCTTGAACCAATAATTTGTACAAGGGGAAATTCACTCTAGTAAAACTCGTACGAGATTTCCATCTAAAAAGGATTTATAAGGAATTTCTAATAAATAAAACATCAATACAATAAAACAAAAGGATTTCCACCAAAAGTGTACAAACTTTTCGCAGAATAATTTGCCCCTCGGTTTGTAAGCTAAAGCCTAGGCCAAACTGAGCAACATTGTTACCCGACAATTTTGCTGGAAGTTTTGTTGATTTTTTTGTCGTCGAAACGTGGTGGCCAAACTGGGCAACATTGTCGTGCAGCATCTTTTGCAGATGTTGTCAAAACAGCGCGCCAAATTTGAATTGATTAGTGGTTTTCAAAGTTTGGATAAGTATGGCTGAAAGAAAGCAAGCTGCAGCCACTGGAAGCTGATTTTGACACATCACAACACCATCATGTTAATTTTAGCACGCTTTGTTATAGCACTCGTAGAAGCAGTAGCATTTGGCTGATTTTATGTTTTCAAGAACTTGCACTTGGACCTGTTTCAGACGAGACCTTTATATTCTTTCTGAACTATTCTTCCTCTCCATGGTTTTCTTCCCATTCTGTAAAATTAACTTCGAAGTTTAAATTTTGGCAGGCCATTTTAATTGAATCGATTTGAGCATATTGTTTTGCAATACAACACTGCGCATGTTGATTTTTCTCAGATGGGAAATTAAGGTGAATTGTTGCCCGAAAATGTGCCCAAAATGGCCAACATAGAGCTGAGTAGCAAATGTTGCCGAAAAATGCTTAAGCATGTTCAAACACTCGAGCAACAAATTTCCCGATGAATTTGTCGGCCAACATGGTGGCCAAACTGGACAACATTTGAGCAACGCTAGGAATTTGTGAATGTTGCCCAACAATGTTGCCCAGTTTGGCGAAGGCTTAAGAGATTGTTAAATGCCCAGAAAATCGCAAATATTTAAAGAAAAAATAAATGAAGAAAAGTCGAAAAAATCCACTGGGCCACACATCTATGTATTTTCTTTACATAGCATTTTACTGCGTCATGAGCCATTAATTAGTATTTTCAAAGACCTTTTTTATTATGTGACGATGGGACAAACTGAGTGGCAAATCACAAATCGCTTCTAGCTGAGGGGCAAATCACTCCACAAAATCTTGTACACTTTTGGTGGAAATCCTATTGTTTTGTCTCAAAATCCCTCAAAATCCTTTTGTTTTTATGAAGTGCCCTCGCTTTTATCTGCGCAGAAAAATTTATGACTTTTGACCACTGATTCTAAAATACTAAAATTAAGTCCCAGTAATTCGACAATTGTGATTCATGTGTATAATTTGTCAATTTCAATTAATCCATGCTTACACATGTAATCTTCTAGGGAACTCGTGATGTTGCCTAATTTCCGTTTCGGTACAAAATCGTCCCAACTGCGTGCATATGAGCATTCTTGATAAGGCTTCAAGCTCAAACAAGGTCAACAGACTGCGTTTTAAATAAAAGTTTTATTGCCCAAATACAGGCAAATAAGGCCAAAATAAACGCCTAATAGCTGCGAAGATTTAACTGTCCACGATCTCTGGGATTATTAAAACTGTATTTCAGAACATTGACTGCATTGCTCTAAAAGTATCACGTGGTGAACTAGCCATCTTTTGACGTTGTTGATTCCAGACCTCTGCATGTAGCTATTCTGCTTAGTGCAGATTTGATCTAAACAGGTATAGTAGAATTGAAAGAAGATTTTATGTGTGCAGTATAAAGAAAAATAAATATTTTGTTGATAAAAATATAAACATATGTCTGTAATCAACAACAAAATTAAGACACGATGAATAAGGTATCAAGAAAAGAACAAATAGACACCACGTCGGTATAGCGAACGAACTAGTACCCGAATAGTAGCTGTTAACAGTATGTCTCTCTTCCTTTCCGATAAGATTTAGTATTCAAATATAGCGCTAAACTATGATTTTTACTAGTTTTATTAGAAGTGCCCATACCCTGGCATGGCCTAGCGCTTTAACCACCACTCCTCGTTCGAAAGAAATACGGAGGAAACCAGACATAAACAGGAGTAATAATACATGGCAATCGCGTTCTAGCTGTTTGGTCTACACTGACTTCCTTGGCTCTTGATAAACCTGTCTATCAATCGAGGAAGATCGGTTGGCAACGTTCACACGAGGTTAAAACAATATAAAAACATTCATTTCGTCATTTGAAATATTGTTTGTCGTGGTATTAGCCTTAAGCACAACAATATTTAAATTTTTCCTATTTCCGATATGCCATATTTTGTTCCCTAAATCTCCTATTCTGAGCATCGTTTCTTTTGGGCTGGTCTTTCATTCGTTAGCAAATATGATGTTTGATCTACTTAACTGTGAGTAAAATGGGTTTTATCCATCTTTCATTTCCAAAAGCAGGCCAATCAGGCAAGGAATGAACAATCGTGGGAACCTGAGACAAGTAGAAACGTTGATTTGAGGTCGGGTATGGTCATCAATTTCATCATAGATCACCTATGATCAATCACCATCACCAGTTATCAATCTTAAACGTCAGTCAGCACTGCCAAACACCATCATCGGTCATCATGTCATTTATCATCAACTCTATCATCAACCATAATCATCAACCACTATCAATCACTATCCGTCACTATCAATCACTGTTAGTCACTATCAATCATTATCAATCACTATCGGCAATCATTACCGTCAATCACTATCTTTCGTCATGATCAATAATCATCATTAGCACTAACTTCAATCAACGTTATCATCAATTATCATAATCACTATCGTGAATCATTAATCACAAAGCATTACTCATCAGTTATAAGTCTTAAATTATCAATCATTGATCATCATGGACTTTTGCTTTAAAAAATCAAGCAAAACAAGAGCAAGAGTTGTAGTTTGGTCATCAATGTGACTATCCGGCCAAGAGTATAGCTTGATAACGAAGCAGATAGTGTTTCAATGAAAACTTAGACTTCTCTCATGCGTACTATCAGTGATAAGCGCAAGTCAAACAGTTCATCATGTTTTACGAAACTCAATACATGAGGTCTATCCGTCCCACTCAAGTGATGGAAATATGAATAAGATGGCCAGAGGAGTTATTAAAGCAGCCACTTGTACTGTCAATGCTTCGCGGCAAACTTACTAAATCAAATCAAACGATATGTATGTATGATGCGGTATCGTTTTTAACTATCTTAGCTTGATTACTAGATTGTATTAAGATTAACTTCGCTTTTCCATTGGATTCTTTGCAGTTGTTCGTTAGGCATACCAGACCGTAAGAAAGAAGGGCACATTTTTTCTCTGGCAAAGATATTCAATTCATCAACATGCCTCGCTTAAACATGAACAACATGTTTCAGAATTACCATGTGGTTGCCTGAAGCACTTTCCTTATGCAATCCTTGCAAAGTGTTGCAAACCACATTACCAGACCAAAGTTTGTTAGCTGCCTCAATAAAGGTATTATATTTGTTGGAATGAAGCAAACAATCAAGCTTGCTACATCTGTTTAATGCAAGACCAGCTTCGAATTGCGAAATACGAAAATAAAAATGAACAACGTGGTGATATGACTAGGCATAATGGCCTCTTGCTAAATACTTGTGTGGTGATATTGGTATTCGCCAACTACCACAGGGATTTAAAGCTGAGATATAGGATTTCTTGATCATTTTCTACTGTAACGCCCCACGAACTTTCAGAGATTGTTATTGTAAACCATTCAAAACGATTTTCTTTCCAGCGTGACGAATAAGCAAATCTAAGAAAACCCCCTTGAAAGTGTCGTGGAGCTTGAACTTTCGACACAAACCTTACTGCGCATGCTCTTGTCCGTGAGAAGTGTGAGATGAGACATTTAAACACTTTATCTTGCTCATCTCTTAACAAATACACATTTGAGAATTGAATTTTATCTTAAACTCTTTTTGTTTTTCCATTTCAGTCTCTGTAGATGTAGAATTCAGAAACAGAGCCTTCCAATTGTGTGGTAAGTGAACTTTCACTCCATATCTGTTTCCTTTGAATGTTCCATAAAAACTTTTCTTTGACCCAAAAATGGTTTAGACTTAATTTTAATTTCGCAAACGTCGAAAGTTAAGAATATTGCTTCTAATTTGTTTTCCAAGCTTTTTGGTCTGTAATCTCCCCCCCCCCCCCTCCAGTCCCCATAGTTGCTACGACTCTTGAATTGGTTCAGTCACTCTACAAAACAAGCTGCTTCTCATTTTACGCTTTCAAAGAAAAAGCCCGTTCTTAGTTGAGGAGGAGGTTGTAGTCATTCCTAAAGCCACGACAGTTTTTCAAAAAGTAAAAATAAAACATTGATAGGCCTTCCAAAAGACTAAATCCCTTAGGCATTGGAGGATTTAACAAAAATAGACTTTGGGAAAGTCTACGTTGTCGAGAGACAATTGGTTGCAGAACCTCTTCATCATTCAGATTTCTACTACAAACGATGGGACAACATAAGCGTGACGTCCACCCACTCGGATGCTCGAGATAGAAAATTTATTACAACTCTAAGTTTTAAAGTTGCTTCAAAGATATTACTCCTGTTTTTTCTCATAATGAACTGAATGTTAAAAAGCATATATTCCAAAGGTCATTTCTACAATATCCTTGAGCTTAAGATAATGCTATCGCAGAATATTTTCGAATGTAAAAACATGCAGATCTGGTAAACCACCTTCCTGGCATTTCTATAATCATTTGCTGTTGGCCCTCTAATAAGAGCATTGTATAAAGTATCGTCGTTTTCTTGAATATCCTCTAACATCTTATTAACCAAAAGCTCAGCAACAAATTACGTCTTCTGTTAGAAAAGTTGCTTTTGGTGTTAATTTGTTAACAATATTCAAGAAATCCTCGGCACCTGGGAAATTTCCATAGCCTTTCCTTGCAGTTTCACCATACCTTCCTTCTCTAAAGAGACAATGTAAATAGCTAACAAGTTATTTTCAGTTTAATTCACAGGGTGGAGTTATTATTTGAACACGAAAACATATTTTCGCATCTAGCATAAAAAGTCCAACAAGAAACTTGTAAAGTTCGAGATAACGGACTTTTGTCCTCCAAGGGAACTGGAATTTGTTGAGAATATTTGAAATAACGGGCCTCCGAGATCGCGAATGTCGTTTTATAAAGACCATTTGGTCTGAACAAGGGGAAATGGAGAGTTTATGATTATTTGATAAATTGAGATTGTGATTATTTGCGATAGCGGGCAGATGAGAGAGCGAATGTCAACTGTTTGCCTTTTCGTAAAATCCTTATGCATAGTAATACGAAAATTTTCATTCACCCTCGAATTAAATGAAACTTTGTCTTGTTGCTCAATGTATCTAGAGTAATTCCGTCTGATTTCGTCCAAAGTTTATTGTTCAAAACTGTACACTTGGATCGAAATAGGCCAATCAGAAACACGAGCACATGACTGTAAAGGTTGACCAATCAGTGTCGCTTGCCTATTAGAATGTTACCAGTGGAGTCCTAAGGTGAAAACGAACTCCTCTTGTCTACACAGTAGCGGTTTTTTCGTGCTTATGTAGATAGATTCTAAAACTGCTAGGTGGAACGACGATCGGGCTTTACCAATAATCCGAAACATGTCGCCATTATAGTTTTTTGCACAATCTGGGTTTTCTAGCAAATGCTGCCCTATAGCAGAATCGCAGGTTTTAGTTGTAATTTTAGATTTTCAAGACCGAGGTGGCTGTTCTCTTTGGGGATGGATTTTGTTTCTAATAATAGATGGAACATGTTGTTTTATCCTATCCTCCAATCTTTGGGTGGTGCGTCCTACGTAGCCAGAATCACACTGGCACGTAAATTCATAAACAACAAAACTTTTTTTGTGGCAGGAACGCAGTCCTTTGGAATGGACGGAAGGGCCTTTTTCGTACTATAAACAACACGTGGGTTGACCGCGAAGAAAAAATTTGTTATGGCCTGTTTTATTTGGCTTTCAAAACGTAGGGAGCTGTTACCGATCTAGGGTAGTTTTAGATAGACCGGGCACTTTTGAGGACCAAATTTTACGTCAGCCGAGAAATTTCCTATTTCTCTTTAATGTAAACTGAAATAACATCTTCTGGATAGCCGTTCTCCAGAAAAATCTTAGTTAGTTTTTCAAGTTCCGAGTCGAGTTTAGACTTGGAACAAATCATCAGTGCCCTATGTGTAAGCGTTTTGATGAGGCTGATTTTTCTTTGTTTTTGGCAACACTATTGTTTTGAAGTCATCGATTCCATGTTTTGGCTATGTTAGACCAGGAAATAGCATGGAAATTTCTCCTCTTGTTGCGCTAGACTGAATACTGCAAGCAAACGACACTTAAGATTGGTTCTGTTCTGCTCATAAAACAATGACTTGAGCTTATCCTTGAAAAATTTCAAAATACATCTCTCTGTTTCAGTACGTACTTGGAAGTTGAAGCAATAACAGTGAAGTACCAGGGAAAACTCGATACGTCAACTGGTGAGTGTTACATTTAAGTAATCTTATGCTTTGCTCCGATTCTTATTTTTAAAGGCTTGGTTCTTTATTAGTTGTCCTGTCACTTTCATAAACGTATTTGTGTTAAACGTGCATAGAAATCTAAAGCTGATTGGGTTTCATTCATCGCAAACGTATCAGGGGCCATGCCTTTAAGAAGAATGCCCAGTTACAAACCAGTGGCCAGAAAACCTGAATCAGTTTTAAATGTCACAGCCAGTTACAGCGAGTGTTTTAAGCTACGTGACAACTTCGGAAGAATGCTAACAGTCTTAGAAACATATATAATTTTACACAAAATGGAGTTCTGAAATACGGCGCTGCTACGAAACAACTTGTTATAAGTCGAGAACCTCTCGAAATGTTAATCACTGTCGACACAGTATCAGTGAAACCTTATAACCTGAAATTTTTGGTGCTGCATTTCGATATTGGTGTGTTAGAAGCCTTAAGGGACAGTGCTATTGTCTTTCATTAATGGCAAATTTTCAGCAATGACAGAAGGGGTTTCTTGCAGTATAAACTTTGATACGTAGCTTTCAGAAAATTGGAATCGCGCATTTTTCATGAAAAGCCAAGCAGGTTTCTTAATTTGTTCTGGGTCTGTTTGTAAAAGTATCGTAACAATTTTTTCGTTTAAAGAGAAAAATTAATGTCCGGGGTGGTGCGTTAGAAAGCTACGAAAAGAGTGGGAGAGGGGGGGGGGGGTAAACTGATAATTACTCAAAAAATTACGGTTGGAGGAAATGTCCATCTAACTCACTCGTTTAGGCCAGTTATTAACAACATATGGCAGAAATATATAAAGTGACAAGACACTTAATTGCAACACTGAATACATTTTGATAAGGACAAATGCAGATATTAAAGAATAGCAAACTCCCGTAGCATACCCACAGAATGGAGAGCCTCTAATTTCAAAATTAGGAAACTGGAAGCTATTTTTTAATTTCCAAAGGGAAATTATTTTTGATTCATTATATTATATCACTGTATGATGGTGTGAGGCTGTAAACCTGGTGTGATGATGCACAAATGAAATAGTTCAAAACATTTTCAGAGTTTCACAAAGAGTTGTAAAGCTTAGTTTCTTACATAAAATCCTTTTTTTATTATTCACATTATTCGCAAAAACTGGCGAATAAAGACCAACGCAGTACTAAGTATTTAATAACAAATTGTCTTCCTTTTTCGGCTTGCTGAAGGAAGACAATATGTGATTTCTAAACTTCAAAGTAATAAAGTGTGAAGAGATCAAAAGGTATGGAATTAGGAAAGTATAGACAGAGACAATAGCTGTCGTAACAATTTAAGCAGGAAGGAAGTGCTAAGGAGAATTTGTGTTATAGGGTTTGATAAAATCTGTATTGAATCGAAATACTGGTAAAGAGCAATGATAAACACTGTATATATTGTGCATACTTTCAGTGTGTTGTTGTAAAGGAGACGAGCAAAGGGGGGTGAGGCAACCCTCTGTCTTGCAATCAAAGAGCATGCGCGTTGAACGAAGTCATCATTGCGCATGCATTCTGACTCTAAGACAGAGGGTTGCTTCATTCATTTGACGATTTTTTCTCGTTCGGTTTACCAACTATGTCAGAGGTCCATTGCTTGAATTAAATCGCTCTAACGGTAGGTTATAAATGCAAATATATGGTACGGAAGGAAATTTGCTTTATCAATGAATTCAAACACAGAGATAAGTTTTCGAAGGATACTTATTTCTGTGTTTTGCCTGCAACCACGAGTCACTGTAGGGAGCAATGCATTAAGCATTGGCATGAATCTAAATGTCTAAATGACGAGATAAGTCGTACTACCTTTATCCCCGGATGTTTTTTGCTGAGTGTCACCTTTTTCCATATGAAAAGAGTTTTGTTGACCACTTCAAATGCACGAGACTCGACCCAATCAGCCTCGTGGACTTCTCCATTTGCTAGAAATCGTTATTAAGGGATTGGTGTCTCAAAATATCAGATTGGTGTCATATGTTTTTATCCCTTTTCAATTTTGAGGCAAGCTAAGATCGTTTCAAGATCTCATTTTGTATTTATTAATTTAATTGCATTGAAAGCGAATGAAATTTATATTTATATAAATTGAGATTTTCCATATTTTCAAAACTGGATTTTTCTAAAAGGCCTAAAATTACCTAAAAGCCAGGAAAGGGAAAATTGTTTCTGAGCACTCTGAATCGGAAGTACACTCTTCGAGAAACTCGCCAAAAGCAGAATAGGAACAACTTTCAATTAAAACAATGACGAATGTTGTCATAAAACTGTACTAAAGAATGAACGAACATCAAATGACAATATTTTTAAAAGTACCAAAGAGTTTTTGCTAAGGCTCGATTTTTTTGTAGCGCAAGTGATTATCTGGTTTTGTGAACACGATAGAAATTTTTCTAAAAAATATTAGTTTACTCTTCTAATGTTTCTTCTGAGGCTTGCCATGTTCTTACGTTGTTCGGAATCGAGCCACAGTGTTTGTATAACGTTTTTTGCAATGATTACACGGGCAACAGTTTACATGGTTAAGTTGTCGCCCTAAAGATCACTGAAGGTGCAGCGCAGTGCATGTCGATGCTTAATATTTTTAGAACCAGATATTTTTTCTCTTTCTCTAAAGCGGATAGCACCTTTGATCCCTCTGCAAGGAATTTTTTAAACCTGGATGACTATTTGCATGGCTTTTGTTATCTGAAGGCTTTTACCAAATTGTATTTACACACTAAGGGCGAGGGCTGTTATGTTTCAACTGATATATTTGCTATTCTAATGACAGTTAATGTGTTTAGAGTAGAGAGTTCAAGACAGCCTTCCTACTATAAGTTGCATTGTGGTATCAACAGTTCAGTTTGAATTTCCTACACTCAGACGCAAACATTTACATCTAACATAATATTGGTAACTTGATAAGCTAGCTTCGGAGCAGGGCCTCGGGTCTCGTGGAAGGGGAGGGGGAGTGTCAATCATCTGTTAACCATTCAGTGGCATCACCGCGGGGTAGACTGGGGTGGGCATGTCCAGCCAAGTTTTTTCAGAAGTCGATTTTCTAGTTTGTGGAAATCCTTCGAAAAAACTTTGGGGGAGGGGGTGTTGGTGATCACAACGATTTCCATTCTCGTTTTTGCAAAATAGCCCGATAATCTAAAGGGCGTGGTCGAGAAAAGGTTTTCTAAACCAGTTTCTTGGGGCTGGCGACTCCACTGTAGCCACTTGTTTATGAGGGTATTTCAGGGAGTTCGTCAATTCCGTTTCAATTCAGTCATATTTTGCAAGCAATTCTAACAATCTAACAATTTTTAATTTTCAAATAAAGATCATTACTCAGTAAAGTTATTTGAAGTCTCCTCTAATCCTTGCCTATCCCTATCTGTCAAACTCACTCACTCGCGTTGCAACAGTACTCCTCCGTAAACATCCTTGACCCTTGCTTTATGTCAGTGTAGCAGCATTTTTATCATGGTTATATTTGGATGTGTAGTGTTATTAGACTGTCCCACCCTGCTGTAGTTTACTAAAGGTGTTAAATTTTCTAAAAATAAATGTTTATATTTAAGTTTCTTCCCACAGCATTGCGATGAAAGGAGATTTCGAGATCAAACCTCAGACGAACTCGATGATATTTTCGCACTTCGACCATTTATTTTCGGCTCATTTACTTACGACTGATATACGTTTCTTGCCTAGAGCTATCCTCTGCACGAACATCCTCTGTTTGTTTGGACTTCTGCATTTCTATACAGATATTCAATTTCAAGTCAGTAGATATCCTTAATTAGCCACGAGAATCGTCTTTGGTTGTGTTGGATAAACCAAGATGAGTCATTGTGTTTCAGTTTTTAAACTTCTTTTGAATTTTGAAGGCTGCTTCAAACTACCGTCTTGCTTGCATTTTTTATAAGAGCTTTTAAATCACATTTCGCGGTTTTCCTTTTGTTATTTGGCAAAACTTTTGGATAATCCATTTCTATTTTTATCCCATTTTATTTATTATTACTAAATCTGCGCCAGGCAAGAAAAAATTTGTGCAGGAAAACGACATCCGCTGCCACATTAGCACTCAATAATAAATTGGATTATTTTTTTTCATAATTGTCAGAGAGTTTGCATCGGCATGGTGATAAACAAATGTACAGTTTTGACACCCAAGCCCTAATCTAATGCTCATTATCCCGTGTTAATGATGTTTGGTTGACCTGACCTTGTCACGAAATACCGGATCTTTTTTGTCTTTACCGAATTCGTGCCTCGTGGTGGAATGACTCGGGAAAACTCCTCCGTATTCTACAGCTTTCGAGCTATATGTGATTTACCTATAAACTGTAAATTACTTTGATTCAATAGCATGTAAACTTCTAATGTTTTACACTCCTTTTTTATATACTAATTTTTTTGACAAAATGAGCTAAGAAGTCAGTCAAAAATTTAGAAAAAACTAAGTTCAAGCTGAGGCTAAAGAACATTTTTTTATCAGAAATCTTTTACAAGATGTAAACTTTTTTAATTACCATATTTCTTAAGGGTTCCATAAATTCAGATTTCAAAATACCTTCTTAATCCAGGATTTTCAAAATTCATCAATCGTCTACTTTTCGTTAGGAAAGTTATCGATATACTGAAGAAGGTGAATGCATACTGGGTAGATACTTAACGTCTTTTTTATCGACTTTTGTCGTTGAATTTCGTTATTTTACGGTGGATAAGAATCTCGGGTTTTTTTCTTACTTTAAATTTGAATTGCAATGCAAATGCGATAATTAGGTACGGAAGAGCTCACCACACCTATTGAGCAGCCATTTTGAACAAACCATATGGCCTCCTTTTTAGGAGAGGTGTCTAGCCTCACTCGCAAATAATAAGCGCCTTGAATTTCTCGCTTACAAGCAAAAAGCAAAGTCGAAGAAGGTGGCATATTTATGGTCGCAAGGCGGCTATCTTTGCATAGGAAGCCTGTAGCATATTGAAGCCAGGATAATAAACCATAATTAACAACTGGATAACATGATCGGAAATCTGACATAGGATAGAACCACAATTAAAAGCTATCGCAAACTCAAATGTTTTCAAGGTGTTTTGAGATATAAAGCACCTAATAAAAGATCCAGCAAACTGTTTATATTGTCAATGTTTCAGACTGTTGGTGAGACTCTTAGAGAAATAGAAAGGAAATGAGGGTTGAGTCTTGCAAAATGACCCTATTTTGGTTTTGCCTGCATCTAAAATTAGTTTAGAGAAGTTATCGGTTGTACTTGAAATAAAATGGTAGTTAAAGGGAAGTCACATCCCAAATCTGTCTTCTTTCATTGACAATACCTCAAAGCATTCCATTCAAATACCACTCAGTCTGTGATGGAAAAAATAGCGGTTTCAATGGTATTACGCCGATAACTGGATATGCGGATGTTGATAGATGGTTGAAGACAGAAAGCTTCATCCTATGTTGGGAACCTAAAAATAATGACTTTTGTAATCCCCCAGGCTTGCCATTTTTTATCTGTATGAGAAGAATCCTAGGGAAATTTTTCAGTGGATCTTTTCGCGCAATGTGGATAACACCGGTGGCCTTATTTGGATCTGCGTGGGAAGGGCATGTAGACACTTTAGGAGGGCGGGAAAATGTGTTAACAACTGTTTTTTGTTGCCAGTACTCCAGTTAAAGTTATTATTAGTGTAGATATTTCAAGACTTTGTTTGAGAGATATGCCTTTGACCAAGGGGCAAATCACTCCAAAAAGTCTCGTACACCTTTGGTGGAAATCCTATTGTTTTATCTAGAAATTCCCAAAAATCCTTTTGTTTCAGGGAAAATCTTGTATGCTATTTGCAAGAGTGAATTGCCCCTCGCTTTTGACAGTATGCAAAAGTCTAGGATTGGGAACTTTTGATAGGTAATTTTGATAGGGTATGAAAGCAGTTATGGTCTGCGAAAGAACATTTTTGTAGAGTTACCTTGAATTTGAAGGAGCTACCCTAAACAGTTTGTGTACCAGGTGTGCCTTTCCATCGCTCCATTCTTATATGCTTAGTATTGGGTCCATTAAACTGGTTACTTCATGAAAAAGCTGTTAGGGGATCTTCTCTTACTGAAGGTAAACATGTTATTTGTTTTGCTTAAAGAAGAGCAAAAGCGCTCACTAAGCAACTTATTTTTATTCGTGTTTGTGATACTAACTCTGTCATCAAAGTACTTGCTTTTACACTCTTTTTTTAGAAAAATTTTATAAGAATACGAGCCTGCAAATAAAAATCTAAATAGAAAGTACAAACATATAGAAAAAATTAGCATTAGCTTAGACCTAGGTACTATGAAGTGTACGAATGTGAGAGTTTAGTATGAAGGATAAATAATACATGACATGGCATTACATTATTACATTACATTGCATTATAACATTAAAGTACATGGTTTATAATTTGAATATATTTTCAAAGAAACACTAACTACTCTATACCCGTCCAGTTTGTGCCTGCAGTAAAATATTGTATCTAATTTTCTTTACCTTACGCCCTAATAATTTATATCCAGCTTCAGAATATTTGAAAGATAAAGAATAGAAAGCCTGAACCTAAATATCCTTGTTCTTTCCAAAGTGCGTTTAAGAATCCCTACGCAACTGGTTAGACGATAAATGAATCATGTTTATTGAAGAAGTTCGCGAGAATGTTTTATCCAAGTGGGAACCACCACGAAAATAGCAAAAAACGTGACTCTTGTCCACCCTTTCGTCTATTAGTGAAATTCTTGAACAGAGCCTAGCATTAGTGATTCAAGGCAAAAGATTTTTATGTTGATTGTTGCTTGGAAACAAAGTAACAATAATTTATTAGAGCCCTGAAATTGAAATTGTAGCTAGGTATGGTTGATCAACTTCGCTTCTCTCATTTCAACCCGAGATTTTATTATTTGTTGTCGTATAGGCAGACCTCGGGGGGAGGGGGTCCCTCAATAGGTTTTGAGGAACGGTGTGTGCTATTTGATAGGGGTACTAATTTCTGAAAAGTGCAAAAGTATCATTTTGAAAAAAGGGTGGAATTATGAGTCCAAATTTTGAAAAAATGGCACCTCTCCGTCCAAAACTAGGCTTGGCTTACTTTCCATTATTTATTGTAAATTTGGATAAATTTGACTTGTGACTCGCGACTAGCCAACGGCATCTGACAAGAGGTAATCAAATAACAAAATTGACAGTGGTTTTTTCGTCTAAATTTTGCCCTAATTTTGCAATTATTTTCCTACAACTTCCCTTCCTTCACCCAAAAGCAATCCATCCATCCAGGCGACGAAGGAGCACTTCGCATCCCCATTGGTAATCTTCTTTGATAGGTGGTGATTTTGATCACCTCAGGAAGTTTAAATTTAGCTTAGTGGCTTTAAAGACAACACGAAAGTTTCGTATCATTTGGCATTTGGTCAGAGTTTGCTCAGTGTTTGATCAAATCAGGTTAACAATTCGTTTCAATTACGGTTCCACTAAAGCGGTGATGCTAGCAAAGATTATCGTCAAAAACGTGTTTGGTTTCGCTCGAGCTTCAAACTGTTAGTTTTGGAGTGCAAACCGGATCACCGCACTTTCAAGGGAAAATCGCTGCAACCAGGTACATTGTTGTTACCATTACTTGCATTCCTTTATCTTTACGGTGTTTAAGACCAGATCCAGGATGATTACTAGCTTGTTCAAAGAGGAGATAATGTAGGCAAGTGTATAATATTCTCTAGCAGTTGTAGCGATTTTGACAGCTGTTTATTTCGTTATAATAACGTTAGCTGTTCTGTTTGTTATAAATATTTTGTATACGGACTTCAATGGTGCTGCATTCAATTTCGAATCGTGGTTTTGGATCATCTAAACTTGATCATTGTCAATAAACACTGTTTTGAATGGCGAATTTTCAGGTTTTTTGTAAGTATTACGATTATGGTCCAGGACGAGTAATCACGAGTCAGATTTGTAGAAATTTGGGATTTAGAGACCCCGTCCTTTGATAGAAATATTTAGGAACAATGAATGGCGGGTTTGAGGATCGAACGTCTCATGTTTCCAGCCAACTGATTCTAGCGGATTTCATTCAGAAAGTCCACGCTCGTACTCACAATCCCGTTGTTTACAAATTTCCATTTTATTTTGACTTGCCCTTCAATGAGATTCAACCGAGGTTTGCTCTAATGCAAACGGGATACGCGAATCTTGTGTTATACCTATAATTCGTGCTGCTACCCAAACCATGTGTAAATGTGTCTTTGTCGGAGATCAGAACATTTCTTTAGCCTTACATTCTTATATCGCTACAAATTTTACTTTGAACTTCATAATGAAAGAAGTTCTACGTCTTGTCGAACAAAGCAAATGAAAACCAACCCGTAAGGTTTAACGGACCAATAGCAAGGTGCAGTTCTTGGAAGGATTTTTTCTCTGTAGCAATCCAGAAATATCATATTTCAAGAAGCAAATTCACTTTCAAAGTAGATACATAGTGTGAAAGGAACACCAGTGCCATCCCTTTTTGGATGGCGATTGAAGCGGTTTAGTAATTTGAGATTCCGTCCTTGATTTTTGCAAATGAGATTCTCACCCGCTTTGACCCCAAACTGTATTTTAAATCCATCCCTTTTATCGTTAGCTTCAAAATACAAACCAAGAAGTCAACATCCCTACCCTGCAAGATAAAATGTTTATCGTATTCTGTCAAGCTTTATCAGTTCTGGGAATAAAAGGTTCATAAAACACCTTAGTGATTTCCAATTCTTCTACTGACCAACATCGGTCAAGTTTATCGAAGCATGGATTAAGGGAGTTTCTCGACAGGAAATTGCTATTCTCTGGATTTTCTGCTTCAACGAAATTTTGAATACAGGAAACCTTGAGATAATTAATAAAACAGGCTTGAGTTTAGCTCTAGAGACTGTTATCTGGCCAAAAAAAGGATTTTCCCTATTCGATCAATTCTTGACATTGCTCACAAGTTTTAAAATGGTGTTAATTCTTCGATCATTTGCAAGCTTGAAAGTTATTCTCTTTAAAACCATTGAAAATGTCGTCCTCCTTAATTCCAACCGCCTCCTTCAAACTGCAATGTCAACTCCTCCACTAGTCTAGCCACCAGCCCCTTCGTCAAATTAATTTGATATGGTACTATCCTTAGTTGCTTCATGAACCACCGTGCTTTTTAGGGGCTTGCCAGTGCCAGGGAAGGACTTCGAAAATCGCTGGCAGGTTAATAGATGAAAATTAATGAGAGTAACTACTTTCCAAAGAGTAATGGGACACGCAAGTTGTGGTTTGAAGCAAATCGTGAAGCCGTGCAGCCATTTTGAAACACTTTATTTTATTGTTTCAAATGGCGTTTTAACCTATCGCTATTGAACGTTTCGTCAAAGATAAAAAGACACCTACTAATTCACCAATTAAGCATGCTCGAACTGTATGTGTTGGATTCAGGACCGGCCCTCGCATCTGTGCCACATCTCTCTTTCTTTCCTGCCAACATTCTTTCAATGCGAGTCATCGTTGGTCGAAATTTTAATCTTTTGACATATCTCTTTTTCAGACAATTAAATGTTCAGATATGTCAATTGTGTGGAAACAAAGAAAGTTTACATTCTTGTTTTAATTAGTGACAACGTCGAATTTAATATTTGAAATTGGCTTACGAGTGAGGAAATCAAGAAGTTTCGGCTTCTACATCATACAAACCACAGGCCCAAAGTTTTTGTTCCCTTCGCTATCGTCTATACGTTCTATGCTAGTGTGGTGTTTCTCTTTCTGCAAAATTTTCTTTTGTTTGCTCAATATAATAATTTTACCATTCAAACATGGTAAAACATAAATATGATTGCAAATCCGCATTTGGATGATAAGAAAGTTAGTTGCGAGGGGCATATCACGCCACGAATATCCCTTACGCCCCTATGTTTTCGAGAAAAATCTGAGAAAAATCTTAAGAAATCCTATTGTTCTAAAATACCCGCACGCTGTTTTGAAAAAGTAATACACTCATCGCTTCATGGTGTTGTTAGCAACAAGAGCTGCTTTAAAGGCATCTATATTTCCTTACATCATCACTGTCTTCTTCCACCTGAAATACCTTCATGAAGACAACGATATCACTAAGCTCAGAAATTGCTTCCACCTTCCACATTATGAAATTTGGCCGTTCTCCCGTTGCTCAAATTTTATATTTTTGAAAAAAAGTTTCTAAGAAACGAAATTCAAGTTAAATCATCTATGGTTTAGATATACGCTTTGTCAGGAAAAAATAAAAATTCAAGTACAATGGTAAATTCCTCTCAACTTATATACCTACCCTTGTTAAGTTATGCATCGGCATTTCTCAAAAATACCCCACCGGTGGATAACCTTTCTCCGGCTCACTGCACTGGAACCATGATTGTTCCTGGGCTCTGCGATGTTGTACAATGCCTGCCAAAAGTACTTGGAACACCCAGCAATTTACGCTGCATTTGATATCTTTCATTCCTTTCATGAAGAAAGAATTACTACTTCCGCCCCCTTCCCTCTAAAATAATGTTGATAATTTAGAGAAATATCATAAAAGAAGCGCAAAAGAAGTTGCTTCCTAAAATCCTAACCCGTTTGATAGTAAACCAACATTGTTCTGCAGGGGAAAGGGGGATGATTGATCTTGACCTTGGAAATTGACGTCAGTGTTCCAAGACTTTTGGCAAGCATTGTAGCATTGGTGTTATAATCATTGTTTTCCATGATCATGATGATAATGATGATAATGATGATAATGATGACAGCAGCTGTTGAGAGTCACAAGACAGACTATAGATCTTCCAGCGAGATCTTGCAATTGATTCTCTCCCCTCTGTAGTATTAATTTGTGTATGAACCTAAAGATCCTATTGGCAAAGTACAGATTCATATACAATAAACCTAGGGCTCCTGGGGCCTATGATCCAAGTGCTGTATTTGGACCTTTTGTTCGTAGTCTAGTCCCTGGATCAAAGTGACTTCGCCAGACCTACCGTTACCATTGGAAACAAACGCTAAACTTTATTTTTGCATCTTAATGCATTAGGCTGGCTCCTGTTAACCATTTACCCTGTTCAACTCAATGAGGGTTGGTAACGATGTAAAATCACAATTGGTAAAATGAGAAATCTGTTAGAATTTCCTGCCCTTTTTTGCTATTTAGGTGCACCTCCAATCTAAATGATTGTAGGCCAAACATTATAGAGCTATACATGAGAACACGTTATCAAAGACTAGAAATTTGCTAATGAAAATCGCAAATGCACTTGAAGTTGGCGCTAAGAATTCTAAAGTGCCGCGGCTTAGTAAGGGATATTGTTTGCAACACTTTAACATTAGTAAAACCTAATAAACGCTAACAAAGTTTCTACCAATTGCATGATTTATTAATGAAATTCCTAAATTTTTCGAAACCATAGATTTCATTTGCTCGGTTTATTAATTGTTGTTTCTCGCTTAGGCTGCCGCCGCCCACATAGGATGGGTTATGACAAGGTCTCTAGCCTTTAGCAAACCTGCTATCAATTTTGTGTAAAGTCTTCATCTGAACTCACATTTGGGAACATTTGCTGTCTCCCCGCTTCTTCAGAAACCTTGTCAAGAGTACGGTCTGCTGGACATAGCCCGGGTACTACAAATTTGAACTCCTCTTGTTTTCCTAAACCAGATTATGAAGACGCTTTGAGTTACGAGGTTAAAGCAGCTGGATTTCCAAATTTTCATCCAGATTCTGAATTTTTGTCCGGCGAAGACAGCAGTCTTCTGAGACCCATCAACTGGACTATGTTTGGCCTTCTTGTGTAAATAGATCTACTGTTATAAAGTCACAGAAAGCAGTACCAAAGCTATAATGTTTAAAGAAGCTCAACTAGCGTTTCTTGCTGACAGCATGGGTACGTTGCCAAGGGCGCGGTCTTCAAATTTATCCCTGGGGTAGGTACTGTTCGCTGTGTACTCCAGGTATTAAATGTTCTTGTGGTCGTACCGATTTCCCGAGTTATTTCACAATTTCCCATTTTAGTAACCTCCCCGTTTTGATGTCTAAATTGGCTGACGTAGGTCGAATTTTCTCTTTGTCTCCTGTGTAGATCTAATACTTGAAGGGAATCCTTCCCACACTAGTCACTGTAGGCTACGTCAATCCTCTACACGACAATAATCCATCGATTAGGCAACTGTTAGTTTTTAGGTCCCGTAGCAAATCGTTAGTGAGTGAAGGATATTTCCAGCAGCCCGGTCCTATTAGCGCGCCAAGCCACCGCGGTTTTACAGGATATCTTCTCTCACAATGCTTAGGCCTATCAAATTTCTTGAGTGTCGCTACTGACCAAATTTGTGCCTGTAATCTTTTATAATTATCATTTTTATCCAACGCCACTTCAATTTTCACACGTTTCTAGTTACATAGAGAAGAAGGCCCCATTCTGTGATGATGTTCAAAAAAGCCCTTTCGTGTCTCCGCTTTATCCATTTTCTGGTCTTGCTTTAGTGTGTTTTCACTTTCTAATATCATTTAAATTTCAAACGCATTGCTGCTGTTTGTCGTTTTGTTTGTAACTGAGTCGCCATGCTTAGAGGCACCGAGAAGCAGGGGTGGGCTGGGGGCTTTTTGCAAAAAATGCCAAATATTAAGAAATAAACTACCAATAAAGTCCATTGTTATACGGTTTTAGCCCTCCCCGCCAAACTTTTTAAGACCCCCCCCCCCCACTTTTCCTCAATGCACCAATCCATCAGGCTGTCCTCGAGCGGCGGCTCTAATTTTTTCAGGGTTTTTTCAGCGCACGCATATAAGGGATTCTCTGACAATTAAACCTGTGGAGATAGGTGCACATACCACTACCTCGGTATACTTCTCTCTCCATGTATAAATCGACAGGCAAATGTTGGCACATAGTAAAGCTCTGTTCGCATTGGTGGTCATACACACACACACATACAACAATGCCCAGCAAGTGACGTCGATCACAACGGTAGAATTTGTTTGTCGAAAAATGTTGCTGCCTCGAGGTGTATGGCCCTAGGCGCGTTAAATTTCTGACCTCTCTTAAGCTGTGAGCTAATCCTTATAACACCTGTTGTGTGTCAAACATTATCGGCTGTCCCGTGTGCTGTGTTAATTGAGCCACTATATGTCGCTATCTCCATTAGGTAACTTCATCAAAACGGAACTTTGTTTGCAGCATTATGCAGTTTCTTTTGAAATACGAACAGTAATTCTATCTAAGAACTACTCGTGTTTTGTCAAACTCGTCACTCTAGTTTAATTCCAGGCATGCGAAGCAACACCTAGGATTAGACATTCCTGCCTCGTTTCAGTATGAATATTCCAGATATACGTACAGATTTTGCACTCTCTCTGTCTCCTGTCCCAATGTTATATAGCCAAGACCCTCTCATTGACGGTGCGAGCTCTCTCTGTATGTAGTGCTCTCATAATACTATATCATATACACATCTTATAGAAGTCTCTCACAGGCTCGAACAGGACACATTATCGGATGGTTAGATGAAACATGAATACGTCTTGGCTCAGACGACCTATCAAGCTAAAACACACAGAACCTCAGAAAAATTAAGCTCTAAATAAAAAACAGTCAAGAATTTCGTCAGAAGATCAATATTGACGACTTTTCCACACCTCAGGCTAAAAAACAAAAAAAAAAACAAGAATCTCTCACACTAATACAGGAGCCTCACCGCAGTGTGCGATTAACGCAAGTACAAACAAAAAAACAAACAAAACAAAACAAACCAAATCTTCAAATAACAAACCAACTCCAACAACTGCCATTTGTTATCCATCCCGTATAAAGACAGACCTTACTGCAAATAAAAGAAAACATTCTTTGGTGCTAAAATGTATAAACAGTACTTAACATTTTTCCTTACTTGTAACCAGGGTGTTTTTTAAGACTTGTGGCATGGCCATTGCCCATTTGATTTTTACATTGTCATAGTCGTTGTGCAAACATACAGCCTGGGGGCAAACCGCCCCTTCAATACAATGCCTCACGGAAAAAACAAAACCGTTTATTATTTTTCAACGATAGATTGTGGTCAGCCCTCTATTTTATTTACAAATACCATTCTAACTGAAAAGCTCTTTTGAGTTCTTTTCTTAAGCACCCCAAACAGCTTGACCCATTTATCGTTCTGCTTTGCTTTGTTCACTCAGATTCCACCCTGCGTTAGGACTA